TCCAGAAGTTAACGTATTTTAAGCAGCGGTTAATGCTGGTCACCAAGTAAATCATATTTTAAATAGGAGAAGAAAGGAAGGAAAAGAGGGGAAAGGGATAAGAAAGGGAGGGGAAAGGATGGGAAGGAGGAAAAACGAAGGGGAAGGGGAACTAGAGGGGGAAATATCCTCCTTAGCTCATAGTGTTTCTGAGGATTGAGCTTGCTCCTCCAACCACTCCCCAATAAATCCCAAGAGGAAAGGCCTTAAAAGAACACCAAACTCAGCAGCCCCTGACCTACTGTCTCCCACAGCAACTTCTTGAGGAAGTTGTACAGGACAGTTCCTTAGGTATTTCCATTACTGGTGGAAATGATGGTGGTGATGATGATTTGAAAAATAAGTGCCCCTTGTCATCTAGAACCAGGAGACACAAGTCCCCTGGGGCTGGAATTACACACCTTTTTGGAATGAAAATGCTTGCCTTTTCCTTTCCTGATGCAAACGTGCAAGCTTCTCTTTTAAAAAGGGGATTTTCCTCTGAGGTTGTCTGTATTTCGGGAAGGCATCTGCTAAAGTAATTTGTCCTAAAGTGTGGGCGATTTCTGGCATTGGTGTTTTTTGTTGTTGTTGTTTTGTTTTTTGTTTTTTTTTTAAACAGAAAACATTATTAGAGTAGCCCTGGATGACCTAGAATTCACTATGTAGATCAGGTTGGCCCCAAACTCAGAGAGATCTTCCAGCCTCTGCTTCCAAGTGCTGGGATTAAAGGTGCATGTGTACTACCACTCTCAGTCTTGACTTTAGTTTTTTAAACAATTTTTAAAAATTTTATTTATTATTTTTATTTTATGTGTATGAGTGTATTGCCTGCATGTGTGTAAGTGCACCTGTGTTGTGCAATTCCCAAGGAGGTAAAAAGGAGTTGGGGGGTGGTATGACCTGCAAAGGTCTGGTGGGACCAGTCATATTTAACACGTTTCCTACAAGAGGAGCTCCTGTAAAATCAATAGGCAGCCCCAACTGTGCTTAAACCTGCAATTTCAGATAAAACATTGTGTTTGGTCCTTGGAGGTGACACAGATTCCCAGTCAGGGGTGTGGTCATCACTTGGCCTAAGTGTGGTATCATGAGGCATCGGAGTGCAGGGGTCACAACTGGGGTCAGCCCCACCCCACCCCCCACAGCCTCAGAGGTGCAGGTACCTGGTCCTGCAAAAAAAAATAGGAAGTGTTAGGGCTGTGGAGAGACTTTGAGACTCATTCTGGGGCTTCTTACCATGGTTTCAGTCAAGGCCAGGTGGCAAAGAAGTCACAGTATCCTGCATCTACACTAGTCTGGAGCTGAGGCCTACCACTGGAGAAGACCCTGCTGGTCCAGGCCCAGGCTATGTGCAATGGACTGGTCCAGTGGTCCACTGGCTGTGGAGTGAAGCAGGAAGCAGGCCTCTGCTGGTGTCTGCAGGTCAGGATCTTACAGTTGGACCCATAGCATCTGTGAATCCAGTCCCAGGGGCCAAATGTGAAATGTGCCCTCCCCCTATGGGTCTCCCAGAGGTCCAGAAAGGGTATATCATCTTGATCAGCCTTCCCGCTCTCTGTCTCTCAATCCCCTGGCACCTGTCCCTCCAAGGTAAAGTTTGTATGTCTGTCTAGATTTTAAGAGAAGGGGGAAATCCAGAGAGTCACCACAGTTCGGCCCACTTAATGAGAAAATACTATTTCACTGGAAAGCTTGAGGTAGGAGGTTTCTGAAAACCTTATTTTCCCGGAATAGAGCAATATGTTTGAGAGATTTGCTTAGTCCTGGAACTTCCTATTGCCCTTCATGTGGTGGAGTTATTTGGGATTACACCCCCACACACACACACAAACACATTCTGAAAATATGCAGGTAGAATCTGTTACCCCTAACCTCACAAAACTCCCTCCACAAACTCTAAAATTCTGAAATTTTAATTTCTATAGTTGTCTCACTCTAGGGAAAGGGAAGGATTTCAACCTTTTTAAAAAATAGTGCTTCTTCCTAGAAAAATGAATTTGGAGGGTTGGGGCCAAGGAATGGGAGTCACAACCCTCCCTCCACCATATACCACATTTCCCGAGTCTTCTATTATTCTGCCTGAAATCATCTCGTTTACAGAAAATATTTGTTTGCACTATTAGTTGGTACTGGAGTTAATTACTCAATGTGTTAACGTGAAGTAATATGTATAAAAGTAGGATCAGTGTTTATTGTGTGGGTGAGCTGTTGAGCGGTGCTTGAATAAACTGCAATTAGGGTTAGATAGAGATTAATTAACATGTGAGTGGCAAGGTGTAAAATAGTTTCCAACCCTCCACTTCAACATAATCTACAGGCAAGGGAAGAGAAGTTTGTGGAAGCTAATTAAATACTTTCATAAAAGCCAGTGTATTCACCCAACATTTGGAGAGAGGGGCACATTAGGGGCAACTTGTTTTTACCCAAATGTTTTCTTTCTGTGGAGGTAGCACTGCTTTGTGATGGGGGGGGGGGAGACAGAGAGATGGTTTATGCAGCCACAAAAAGCAGGAGGGATGGCAAGGCAGGTTCACAGAAGCCCTTGAAGCCTTTCAGCCCGTTGAAGCTTTCCAACCAGCAGATCTTTCAGCTGCTGCGGAGATCAACAATCACCCAATTTGGAAAAAGGGTTGGGGTGCAAAGCTGGTGGCGAACAGGATTCTGCAGGGAAGTCGGAATAGAAATTCAGGTTTTGAGAGACTGTGGTTGTGTTGATATTGTTTCGGTGCTGGGGTGAGTGGTTTGTTTCAGGTTTGGTGGGAGAGGAGAACCATCTCGGAGCTTGTGTTCACATTTACATAGGGATGGGGGGGACACTGGGCGTGGAATTCGGTCTCTGTGAAGATGTCTTAAATTAAATGGGCTGTATAAAAATGTTCTTCTCCAGTTGGGCAATACTCTAGCTTTGAAATCTGGAAGTCTCCAGGATCTAAGTGCGTGTGTGTGTGTGTGTGTGTGTGTGCGCGCGCGCGCGCGCGCGTGCGTGTGTGTGTGTGTGTGTGTGTGTGTGTGTGTGTGTCAGGGGGTGATGTTAAGGGAACAGACTCATGATGGCTGAATTCAGGGTAGTTTCAGAGTTTGACAGAATGAGAGTATTAGCCGATGACAGTCCCCTTCCAAGCTACTTCTCCTCAGAGACCTCTCTTTGTTTCCCTCCCCTTGCTTTCCGAGTGCACTTATCTTTTCCTGCCATATCCACATCCGGTCTGAAATGGCCCGTCAAAGGAGCCACAACTGGATGGGTGGGTAGAAGGAGGAAGGGGAGTTATTTGCCTGCAGTTAAAAGTAAAGCTTTGCTTGTCTGTCCCTGGTGGGTCAGTTTTCTGTGAATGTGTTGTAGTGCAGAGGGGCCTGGGAGGGAATGGATACTCAGACTTCCAGATCTGTCCGGAACAGAGGAGAGGGTTTGTGTCCACCGGCACTTTCTCTGGCTCCACCGGATGGTGCGTCTTTGGAGATGGGATTGACTGTCAAACCTTCAACCCTGTTTGCTCACATTATACCCACCATAATCCTCTTAAACTGCGGTTGCGGCTACAAAGCTCGTGGTCTTGCAAAAGCCGGCTGGCAAGATATAATTGTCCCACGAACAAAAACAGCCAAAAGTTTTCAAAAAACCCCTGCCCTCCCCCTTCTCCATTCCTAAACCTAATTCTCTCGCTCTCTAGCTGGCAACCCCCCTCCCCACAAGGACCCTCAGCCTCGACCACTTTTGTTGTCGCCAAGAGCACCCGGTCTGTTGAAAGTGCTGGAGCGTCTTTGAACGGTTTGTTGTGATACGCAGGTGGGATGGTCTGCAAACATGAATTCAGCCCCTCCAAACCCAGCGCCGAGCGCGCTGCTTTTGTGCGCCAGGCACAAAACGCTGAATTCCTCCGAACTTACTTGGGGCCTGTCTAGAAAAGGGCCTTTTCTTCCCTCGGCTTGTACCTCTGGCCACACTAAGTCTTTGCCCGCCCCACTTCAGGCCCCCTCCCTCTCCCCTCTGATAATCCTTCTCTTTATTTTAGAAAAACACAAAACCCGGTTCCACGCGGTGCTTTAGTGGCTAAAAGTGAAAGAGCTGCCTTGGCAGAATTCAGCTCTATGAATCACTTCGGAAAATTGGTTCGACTGAATGGCCTTAGGAGGAAAAACGTTTTAATAGGATCCAGGGGAGGTTCTGCTGTTTCAATCTGCTCCTTAAACAGGTGGAGATTGGACCTTCTCAATTATACAAACAGTAAGTACCCAACAGCGGGAGAGCTGCCCTCCGAATCCTCCCCGCACGCAGCCCTAAGGCAGGCGCAGAGCCCGGCTTTGCCTCCCAAACCCGATCACAAATCAGCAATTCGGATCGATTAGGTTCTTGGACAACCCTCCGGCTCTCGCGGCTGACTGTCCCAGCCTTAGGCGGGGAGCCGGCCTGAAAGCTGGAGGCGTATGGGCCGGGCACCGAGGCCCCCCAGGGTTCCCAGCGCGCGGCCTTGCCCTTCCCGACTCTTCCAGGTCGTCCTTAGGCTGCGGGGAGCTCTCTCCCGACCTCCGACGCCAGCCAAGGCGAGCTCCTTGCTTTTGCATAAATTAATATTTCCCCATTAACAAGTTCCCCCCTCCAAACGCGACGCCCGCGTCCATGCGCCACATCCTAATGAGGTAATTATCATTTGCGCGTGTTCGGGGCTGGCGCCGGCTCCGTGGGTAAATGGCAGTTTATTAGCACGATGCCCAGCTCGGCTGCGGAGGGCTAAGGGATACTTTGGTGACTAGACGGACACTCGGGGGCCGTTGGAGGCAGCGCGTTCGGGACACCCCGCCTTCCCGGCGTACCCCAAACCTGTAGGCCCCCAAAGTTGTGAATCACGCCAGGAACTCTGCCTAGGTTTGGGTTTGGGCTCCCCCCACCTCCTTCCACCGGCAAAACCATCACGATTCCTCCCCCTCCCCCCTCCTTCTCTTCCCTCCTTCCCGATTCGCAAACCGCTCGCACTTTCCCGAAGGGAGCGCGGGCGCCAGTTGCCTCCTTTTAAAGTTTGAGGGGCGGTGGCGGCGGCGGCCGGCAGGCGCGGGGGAACGCAGGGTCCTCAACAGGAGCGGCGCCGCCGCCCCTGTCATTCCACTTCAAGTGACTTCATGTGATGTCAGCTGAATGTAAAAGACAGTGATCTCACGCGGAGGGGAAGATGTTTGCCATCAAAATGTGACAGAAGAGACACGCTGCATGGCTCGGAACGCATCTCCTTGGCGGTGGGGGAAAGAGGTAAAAGCGAGGTGGCTCTCCGAGTCCTCTTTAACTTCGTCCTTTCAGTGCCCAGCTCCCAGCGCGCGTGGCGGAGGCCTGGGTCCAGAGAAGGCTGGGGGGGGGATTAATTTGACACTCCCCCCCCTTTCCTTTATACAGCCTCCCCCTTCTTCCCCCTTTCTCAGTCCCAGGGCAAGGGCTGGTGGGTTCCCTTGCGCGCCGGGTTAATGGGCGGTAATTTGGTACCCTTGGGTGACTTTGTTCAGCCTCTGTTCATTTGAATGCAAATGGGTGACCCGGGCCCGACTAGGTGCTTATTAAATTGCGGTTTCCCCCCTGCCTTTTCCGGAATGCAGACTTAGAGGAGAGAGGCTGTGCCCTGGCCCAGCCCGGCTCGGCTTGGCACGCCATGGCCAGCTCAGCTTCCCTGGAGACCATGGTGCCCCCGGCCTGCCCGCGCGCTGGAACATCACCAGCCACTTCCAAGACACTGGCCTTCTCCATCGAGCGCATCATGGCCAAGACGTCGGAGCCGCGAGCGCCCTTTGAGCCCCGGCCTGCGGCGCTAGATTCGGACAGCAGCCAGAGCAAGAAACTCCTCAACCTCTGCTCGCCGCTGCCCTGCATGATCCCTCTCCAGCCCCTGGGCTATGAGGTGCCGTCCAAGACACTGCTCAGTTACTCAGAGTTCTGGAAAAGCAGCCTCCGGGCGGGCGGCAGTGCAGGAGGAGGAGGAGGCGGCGGCGGCGGGGGGGGCCCAGTGTGCGGCGCCAGCGGCTTGTGCAAAACCAACTGTGGCGTGTGCTGCAAGGCCGAGCTGGGCCTTGCGCCGTCAGCGCTGCCCGCCGGCAGGGTCATCAAGCCGCAGGTCATCAACCAGGCGGTGGGGCTGCCGGCCAGCGGCTCTCTCTACTACTTCAACTACCTGGACTCCGCTGCCTACCCTCCTTCGGAGCTCCTCGGCGGCCACCTTTTCCCATCTGGCCTCCTCAATGCGCAGGCTCCCACATCCCTGGCTGCGCACCCCAAGCTCTTTCTGCTGGAGAACGCCAAGCTGGCTGGCCTGGCTACGGACAAGTTCCCCCATCCAGCTCCCTACCCCCATAAGGAGCGCTTACCTGCGCAGCTGGAGCAGGTGCTGAAGGAGAACTCGGCCTTGACCGTTGATCGTGGGGGCGTCAAGAGCCACAGCAAGCTACCTGGGGGTTCCGCGGATGGCAAACCTAAAAACTTCACCTGCGAAGTGTGCGGCAAGGTGAGGCCCGAGGATCTGGGGGAAGGGTTGAGCAGTCGCCTGCTTTCCTGGGCCAGCCTGTACACCCCTCTCTCAAGCTGAGGAGCGTCCCAATAGCTGTCAGCTCCAATGGTGCTTAGTCGGCCCTCAGTCTCCTATTCTGTATAATGGGATTGTTGTCAGTGGTCACGTAGTTTCTCTATCAACAACGGCTTGGAAAGCACTTTACAAAAAGGGCTCTGGCTTTGAAGGGATTGGGGTCGTTGGGGAAGGTAAACTGCGGCCTCCCAGGGCTCATCGTAGGCCCTTGGTAGACTCAGCTCAAGGTCCCCTCTTGTCCTTCCATAGGTGTTTAACGCTCACTATAACCTCACCCGTCACATGCCGGTCCACACCGGAGCCAGACCGTTCGTGTGCAAAGTCTGTGGCAAAGGCTTTCGCCAGGCCAGCACTCTCTGCAGACACAAAATTATCCACACCCAGGTACGTGGCCCCCAGGTCAGGCCCGGTCCTGCAGGCACCTAAGGTCCTTGTCTGTTAGTATTGGGAACATGATAGCCAAGGATTCTCTCTTACTCTTGGGTGGTGTGGGGGGGCGGCTGTGTCCCTTCGAAAGGTTTCCAAGGTCTCAGCCTTACTGTGCACGCCCCTCTCTGCAGGAAAAACCCCATAAGTGTAACCAGTGTGGCAAAGCCTTCAATCGCAGCTCCACGCTCAACACGCACATCCGCATCCACGCGGGCTACAAACCCTTCGTCTGCGAATTTTGCGGCAAAGGCTTCCACCAAAAAGGTAAAGTGCTGGGCTAAGCACTCTCTCACCTCACACCGGGTGCTCAGAGGTTCGCTACAAGGGGCAAGGCTGGGGGGGAGGTGGAGAAAGACAGCACTGAAACCGAAAGCTAGCAAGCTCTAATTCTTTGGAATCCGGCTGTACCCGGTGTGAGTGAAAGCTTTCCCCAAGGGTTAGTAGACCTCGCTGGATACAGGCTTGACGCCCTGGGAGGCTGAATTTTGGAGCTGAGAAGGAAGGAAGGGGCAAAAGAAAAGGAACTAAGAAAAGTAGAAAGTATTGTCCTCTAGAAAGAGGTTCCCTTTGCAATCGGTACTTCCTTTTCAAATAAGAAAAAAAAAAAAAAATCTAAGCAATACCTTCCTCCTGAGGACAACTTAAGACTCAGGGGAAATTGGTCAGGTCGCGGGTACTCCCAGGCCCGGTCACTTACAATTTCCAGGACACTTTTGGGTCTCTCCGTGGTAAATGGGGATGAGAGGGAGTAACTGTGGAAAAAAATAAGAAAAAGAATAGAGAGAGACGAAGCCTAAGGTTCTTGCGAATTTCTCCGAGCAAGCATCAGCTAGAAGAATCCGCTGCCTCCTTGGACTGCACAAAGTTTCCCAGTCTGCAGAGCTCGGCAGGAGGGATGCTTCCTGGACCTCTGTGTCCTGCAGGGTAGGGGCTCAAGCAGGCTGGGTAAGACCTGGCTCCTAGTCCTTTCCAGAGTGCCCCGGGCTTGATGCTTACAAAGTTTGACAACTTCTTCGCTTGGAGAGGTCGCGCCCGCCTAGCCAAGCATCGCCTTCTTTGCTCGGGCACCTGAGCCGCTGCGGGGTATGCCCGGGCCCCCTCTTTCCATTCCACACCCCTACCTTTTTTGTCTTTTTTTTTTGGTCTCCTGTAGGGAATTACAAGAACCACAAGCTGACCCACAGCGGCGAGAAGCAGTATAAATGTACCATCTGCAACAAGGCCTTCCATCAAGTCTACAATCTGACCTTCCACATGCACACCCACAACGACAAGAAACCTTTCACGTGCGCCACTTGCGGCAAAGGTTTTTGCAGAAACTTTGACTTAAAGAAACACGTGCGCAAACTCCACGACAGCGTGGGCCCCGCCGCCCCGTCCACAAAGGACCTGACCAGGACAGCGCAGAGCTGAGAGCTACTGCCTTGCCCCTCCCTTCTGCCCTGTACCAATCCAAACAGATCACACGTATAAACTTATTTCTAAAATTAAAAGAAAAATAAACTATAGCAGAGAGGCTAAAATCTATTTATCGAAACCAGCATATTTTTTGGAAAGTTAAACGTTTCCTCGATGACTGGCAGCAAACGCGTGGCACCTTTGTATATTCAGGAAACTTACTTAAATCCAGTGCGCTGAAACATATTTAATTCCAGGCCTCGGCTTCTCTTCGGGCAGCCGGTTTTTAACCCCAGCCTGTCATCGCGAGCGTCCGGAAGAGCGGGACGCCCCCAGCCATCTTTATACAACCATGTAATCTCTCCTGTACAAGCGAACACGGAATATATATATATATATATACATATATGACTCAATAAACAGAACAATTAGTGCGCGTTTTCTTTCCCCAATCCCCTCGCCGAGAGGTTAGCTCAACAAATCCAAAGAATGAAGTGGAATTAGGCATTTAGAGCGGTTCCTTCCTCAAGCGTGACTTCCTTTGGGGGAGAGGGGGAGTCCCAGCTGAGGTTAACTGGGTGATCCTGGTACCCTGGTGTATTAAGGCACCCAAGGGCATGGGCCAAAGCATCTCCATCCGGCTCTATGAGGTGCCCGAGTGTTTATTTGGTGACTGTTTAGATGCTTGGGATTCTTACCGTTGCTTTGTTTGGGAAAGGAAAAAAAAATGTTAAGGATTAAAAGTGGATGCTGTGGAATACCGTTTGGGTGTCCCTGAGGGTAGCGCAGTGCAAGGAAAAAGCAAGGCTTTTCCTCCGCAGACGCTTCTGAGTACCCGGTCTGGGTGACCTTAGGAGCGCAGCCTCTGTCCCAGGCTCCCCTGGTGGCGAGAGCTGGAGGCCGAGGGTGCCTAGCCTAACCCGAGCTCTCGGTGCCTCTCGCCTGCTCTCCGGGTCCGGGCTGCCTTCCCGGTGCCCGGCGCCCTGCCGCGGGAGGGCGCGCCGGACTCCCTGCCCTGGCCGCTGTTGCTCCCGGGTCCTGATTACCGCGCAGTCAGCCCACTTCCTCAATAGCTATCTCCGCCGCCTTGCACGCTGATGAAATGATCTCACGCTTGCTTTCTAAGTAATGACCCAAATTAAGAGAGAAAACAGAGACCCTTCAAACAGCATTACATTAATCATCTAATCACCCCCAGGAGGGGGCCGGCCGCCGCCGCCCCGTTTGATCCGAATCTAGATAATCAAGAGCTCGGATTACTGGCGCGTCTCGCCTGGCCTCCTCCCCCGAGCGCCACCCCCTCCACACTTTTAATATCCGCGCCGCGATTCAGCCCACGTCTTCTGGAACATTGTTTCCCCTGCGCCAGAGGAAACGCAGCGCGCGTCCGGGGAGTGAGCTTTCACGTAGCCTCCTGGTTGAGGGGGCGAGGACTGCTGGGCACTGACCCCACGCGGATTTCCACCGCGGGTGGTGGTTATTTGGAGGGGAGGATGGTTACTGCAAAGGGCATTCCCAGGTAACTCTAACAGTAACGAGTGCGGGTTAACCCAACGCGTTGTATACAGTAGGCACTCACTGCTGAGAGCGCCTGTGTCTTCCACCACGATGGGGGTGGGGTGGGAGCTTATTTCCAGGGCACTCATTCCTAGCCGTGCACTCAACACCTTCTCTGGAGAGTTGACAACAACTTGCAAGCTAGGGAGTGCTTATTCCCACTTTACAGAGAAAGAAAGAGAGGCGTAGATCATCTCAATGGCATGCCCAGGATTTCAGAGCTAGGTAGGGCAGGGATCCAAAGTCCGGTTTTTAAGAGACCAGCACTTCCTTTAGTTATCATTGGCGGAGCCGAATCTCAGGATTGTGGCCCAGAGATGCTCCTGGCCCGGGTGGAAGATCTATCCTGGTCACAGTCTACAGTTCAGTCCTGGGCCCTCTCCCAATCCGAAGACCCATTGCGCCGGGAAGGAGAATTGTCGATTTTGTTTGCACAGAGGACAGCGACAGCTTCCTCAGGCTGTCGCGGGGGTATTTTTAGTACCTCCGATTCAGAAATAGGAACGCGTACATTAGAATTCCATTTCCTGAAAGGAGAGCGTCCTCGTTTTTTTTTTTTTTTTTTTTTTTTTTTTTTCCCCCCCCTTCCCCCTCCCCCAAGTCTGGGAAGACGCAGCCAGGGGAGGGGGACTAGGAAGCCAGGGGAAATTTAAATGCTATCTGGTTCTGGCTGCAGTTCCCAGAGGAGAGACTGGGACCCACAGGAACATGCAGATTGAACTCCAAAATCTCGGTGCATACTATAAACCCCAGGGAATCCGGGATGGGACAGGAGGACTGGACCGCTAAATGTGGACTTCAGAAATTGTCTAACGTTTGATGCATCAGCTCCTTCACTTGCCCTCAGGGTTTGACTAACCTTGCCTGCCATTCCCACACCCCACTGTTCTGGGACATCCTGAGTGCTCTATGATTGTCAAGTCAATCAAAATCTTTTTCCCCCCCTGAGAGTCTCCTTTTCAGATGAGCTACTTTGCAATCCAATCCCAGATACTGGGATGTTAGTGGGAAGTTGGCATGCAGGTGAAAATCATGGTCAGGTTCTTCACTTAAAGAAAAATTGATCAATAAAAGAGGTGTGTGTTATCCAGGAAGATAGCTTTTTTAAAAAACTATTTTTTTGTGTGTATGTGTGTATTGCCTGCATGTAGGTAAGTGCACCTGTGTTGTGCAATGCCCACGAAGGACAGAAGAGGCTGTCGGATCCCCTGGACCTGGAGTTACGGGCAGTTGTTAGCTGCCATGTGGGTACTGGGATTTAAACCTGGGTCTTCTGCAAGAACAGCCAGTGTTCTTAAAAGCTTTTTAAACATCAAGCAATAGAACTTTCTTTGAGAACAGCTTCTGTCATAACTTTTCATGGGGCAAAGATGAAAAAGGTCACCCATCTCATAAACTGGAGAAACTTGTTTTCAGGTTGACAGTTTTGAAGTGTTATAGGGATTATTTTCTAACAAATAAAATACAACTCTGGCGGAATTGAAGGCATTTCCATCCTGGCTATCCCTGGTGTCAAGGTACCAAGTACCTGTGCAGTTTCCAGCACATTCCAGCCTCCTTGAGGTTGTTTCCTCATTTAACTTGATTGCTGCTTAACCTTCACAGCAGCTCCTGTAATCGCAGTTACCTGAGAAGGTGTTATTTCACATCTGAAGGTAATTGTAGATAAATAGAGTTCTTCAGCATCTAAGCACCTCATTTCTGCTGTCTATGAGTTGGAAGCCATTCCCGATTTAAGATGACTGTTTTCTGTGGATGTGGGATTCAGGAAAGGATCCCTTCACCTGAGACGGAAAGAGACCTTCTGTTTAATTATTAAACAGCCCCCACCCCACAAGCTGCACCTGCTCTGGAGCCAAAGCTAAGCCCAGTAATCATCATAGCTGGGCTCCTTTTTAGCTGTTCACCATGCATCGGAATTGGTGGGTGAAAGGCTCTGTTTCCACTTTTTCCCCCTTCATTATATTAAATTGTTTGCATGACTTGTAGTTTACAATACCAATAAATGACTTAAACAAGGTAGTCATCCACTGCATATTAATATTCTAACCTTGATTAAATTGAAGAGGCCACCCTGAAAAAAATATTTAAAAAAAAATCAAATTGCGGGGGAGGGGAATCCTGTCACAGACACAAAAAGACTCCAATTATCTTTTCCCCTACAAGATGTTTGTTCTGTCCAGGACTGCTCACACTTCAGCAATCTTGCCAGCAAGACTCAAAAAAAAAAAAAAAAAAAAGCCTTCCAAAGCCACAGCCTTGTACATAACAGATTGTACAGTCCGATTGCCTTAGGCGGGTTAGAGGTTCCTTTCTACAAAGAGCTACACAGAGGAGTGCAGCATCCAGATACATTTTGGGGGGCACTGTGCAGTGCTCTTGCCCTGGCTGCAGAAGTGGATCTACATAGGGCCCTATTTGACTGTTTGGCTCACAAGAAGGTAGGGGCTGCCTGAGCTAGGCCCAAGAGTCCCAGCAGCAAGGCATCCAGGGGTACAGGTGGTGAATGGGCTGCAGGAGGGAGGGCACCAGAGAGGGAGGGTAGGGGTTGGGGGGGCTGCCAAAGGGAGGACAGGAGTCTTGAGAAAACGCTGGGAAATAAACAACCTTAAGGCAGCTGCGTTGCCCTTTTCCCTGCACTTCCCTCTCATACGTCTGAGCAACCAGTTTGCTCCCAGAAACACGTTAATTGCCAACGGAGCTCATTAAGGCATGCACATGCAAAACACAGCAAGAAAGATTAAATGGACAAAAGCGCAATAATGAACTGTCAACAATCGGGCCCATCTACAGAACCAGGATCACTCAAGAATGAGGCATTTAGAGGCAACAAAGGATTGTCTGGGACAGGAAGAAAAGACGATCTAGACTTTTGTTTAGTCAACACAATTGATTACAAATGAGAGATTAACAGGATAGCTTCAGATTTTTTTAAAAAAAGAGGCAGAAAAGAAAAGTCCAATTAAGTCCACCGAATGTTAACTACATTGCGTTCCATGCCTAGCCCCAAAGAAATTCTCATTAAACCATCCCTGGCGATCCCTTTTGGAAAGTAATTTGTCTCCCTGATGGAGCAGAGAAAGAGAATCGTGTAAAAGAAAGCGTTAGTTCTTGGCACAATGAGCTTAGGAGACACACTAGAAAGAGCCAAAGGGGGAGTTAATGAGCATCTGACAAACTGCTTGGATTCAGGCCTAGAGAACAGCGATGAAAAGATGAAATTGGCCAACAACTATTCTTTATATCAAACATAAAAAGGCCAATCTGAAATGGGGCTGCTCAAAACTGGATGAAAGTACATAGCTCAAGAAAAGGGAGTCGTGGCCAGGCCCCTTGGTGGACAGTGGACAGAGAGTGTGAAGAACTCAACAGGCCAAGAGTTAGAAAATCAACTGAAAAGCTGGCTCTCTAGAAGACCCAGCCCTCCAGAGGGGACAGCCTCCCAGCTCCCCGGCCTTTGCAGGTGCTGAGTTGAAACTCTTGCTGCCCATCCCCCAACCTCTGGATGTTTCTTTTGGAAGTGAAAATGTAGCAGGCTAGCATTTGAGGGGTACCCCCAAAGTTCTTACAATTTGGTAATTAGCCCCTGGCATTCACCTACCACATGCACCTCCTCTTCGAGACCTCTTGGCCCCTGGAAGCACTATTTGTTACCAGCACATATTCAGGGTGACTACTATCCTTTCCTAGTAACCATTCAAAATTCTCAATTCTGCATGGAATTGGCAAGAAAGAAAATGCACTGATGGCACCTGGCTTTGTGAAACAGGTTATGAAGTGTTTAAATTCTCATTCTTCTTTATCAGACTTCAGAGACTGCCTTACTTGCATTTCCTTATTT